AAAAGCAAGATCTTAAACAACTATGCACTATGCTTGATAATAAAAGATATGATTACAAGAAACAAAGGAAGAGTGCCGGAGATTACTTCAATCGGGCTTATTACACCCCACACCAAGTCACCTTCATTCGATAGCGCAGGATCAATGGTCTAGCTTCAATCTCGAACCGGGAAAGCAAATTTCGACAAAACTACAACAATGGAACATGAACTCCTTTGATCACAAACTCAAACCTTAGGTGAATTCTCTTAGCAACCTAGTTTGAGATAAATGGATTCTCTTTTTGAACCCTAAAACCCTTAGCCATAAATCCATATTTGAGAGATAGGAGAGAAGAACTTCATAACCTAAACCATTGGGTTCTTTCACAATATGGGAGAGTTAAATAAAAAATGAGAGAGATAAACTTTCGTAAGAGAGAGATAGAAAGATAGGGTGTACAGATTTTTTAGTAGAGACAATCATTTTTTATAGGTTTTGAATAAGATTAGGGTTTTTTGGGGTTTTCTTTGGCTTGCTTCTTATTGTGAGATTAAACATAGACCGTCAATCAAGTGTGACTTGTGGGGTGAGAGATCTGAGCCATCCATTCCATAGATGGGCATCAACATTATGGAAGGTGCATGAACCATTGTCCCGATTTCCTAAACTATTTTCCCATCAATAGAAATTAAATAAATTAAATCTAATAAAAATAGTGTACATACCATAAAATAGTACAAGTCTACTCAATCTTTCTACAAAATCTGTCAAAGATATATCAAGTCAATATTTAGTCAATATCTTCTAACCATATGGCCACATGCCATATCACCCAAAAAAAAGAAAAAGGAAAGAGAATAAGGGTGGGGTGTGCCACCCAAGGGAGGCACTCATGGGCCCCACCTTCTAAAAATATGGCAAGCCTATGTGCACAATATGCCCCCATGATATTTTTATATATTTAAAATTAATAAAAAGATTTTAGAATATTATTTGAATATTTAAATAATTGTAAAATCAATATCTTTAATTTTATAAATCCAAAAATTATAAATAAAGTATCCAGGGGTTCATAAAAATTCAAATAATAATTTTAAAGTAATTTTCATCATAAAACAAATACAATTAAATTAATTTGATGGGAAAATGATCCATATGGTTTAGAAATCAACAATCATGGGGCACTCCACCGTCAACTGTGGACTATAGACCACACTTGCTTTATCAGACAAACCCAGTGTTTTCCATGACCTACAGTCCAAGCAGGGGCTCATTAGAGGGTTACCAAAGTCCGGCCAATGAGCCAAGGTATCTCAATCTCAGTCTATGGATTTCAGGTCCTCCCCTAGAGACAAGTCAATGTCACCTAAACCTGATGCGATCATTGCTCATATGATGCATAGGGGTATCTCTCGCACATGCATACGCTTAACCCTATAAGGTGGATTTCTAGCTTTCCCGAACGATCTATCGATATGCATGCCGTGTGATGGCACATGGATGAAGCTTTTGCCCCCGTCTCTGTAGGCCACCATAACACACAAGGGTCACACAGTCCCTCGGCTCACTCATCCGGACATGTTCTCTGACCTCATTAATGGCTAACCCATAAACCCTCATCGACTTATTCTTCATGCCCAGGTAACATGGGTTTTTCCCAATCGACCGGTCTAGATTGTTAAGCACAGATCGTATCAGCAAATCATCGTTTGATTAGTATGGTCTACGAGGGACCACATTCCCACTGAGTTCACGTTAAACTATATCATTTCATTTTATAAGCATTCATAAGGCTTTTAAGAGCCCATGAACCCAACAAAATTGGATGGCTTGAGATGAGTCACAAAGTCTGAGATATTTTTTTTGAAATTATATATCTATTCAATGACACTCATAAGATCCCATTTTGAAATTTAAAGTACAAGGATGTTTGTGAAGCTGTTTGTACACCACTAGGTGTAGGCAATTTATATATGTCACCTTCTCCTAGTCGTTTCATCTAAATGGATGGATAGATTCAACTTTAATGTCAAAAGTGAGCCTTCTTCTAGATATGGTGTCCTAGAGTTTTTTATTTTTTAATTTTTTTACAACTCATATAAATATGAAATTTTGGTGCGTATCATCACCATAATAGGGACACCTATAAAATATAAAATATTTTTGAAAAATAAAATGACCAAACTATGCCTAAAACTTTTAGGGTTATTTTTTCCATTTTATTTTATCACAATTATTTTTTGTAAGTTCAAATATTTTTTTTAAGTTTGAGGATTGGATGCTCCAAATTTAGTGTTAATGTTATTTCTAAAAAACTTAAAAATAAAAAATAATATTTAAACATAAAATTATAATAGACGGGTTATTTCAACTATCCAATCAGATCGAACGCTAGGAGAAGGAGGCATACATGAATTCAAGGAGCTTTTCCTTGCTAAATACGTTGATCATGAAATGGCATTCTTTTTGGGATTTTTTTTTGCATTTTCTCATACCACAAAACCCTGCATTATCCAAAACCCTTGAAAAAGCGTAAAACGAGGCGCCGTGTCTCATGAGCCGTCACGGACCGCCGTCACGAGCCTGGCGCGGTCAAGGGTCCACACGCCCACCTAGCACACGCATCCTTCTTTGGACTTCAGAGTCCCATTTCAAAAAGCAACAGAACAAAGACACGTGGCGATAAATAACACATCAACCACAGATAATACCACACGTGTTAGGAATGCTTTATTAACTTACTTGTAGGAAGGTGGACTCGTTTAAAATATCAGAAAATGCCTGGCCTTTTCCTGCAGGTGTGAAATGATGCTTATTTTGTCGTAACTGAAAATTGGCCCAACCAATATTTAAAATCCCCCTTAAATCTTATTGACCACCATTATGAATTGAACTATGGTCCATGATGTTTTCATTTTTTGTTTATTTTTTATTTTGAAATGAAAGTCATTCCAATTCCCTCATTCTTAATTAATGATTTCTTTGTATATTCTCTAGCTTAGGAATTCACAAAAATTATGTTGAAATGTATCGTATTTGCAATTTTCATTTTTTAAGTGGTTATTTTAATTTCCATGACAGTGAAATCACAAGCAAATTTTGCATTGCGCTAGATCAATTTTAGAACTTGATATTTTGAGCAATTTTTAAGGCTTATACGGTCTACTTGTTATCAATAGTTCAAAAAAGTTAAAACTTAGTGACGAATTATATGTTGTTTGACAGTATCCATCGTAAAGTTATTTGAGATAAACTAATAGATATATTTTTGAAAAGCTATTTTTACGTCATTCAGAGCAATTTATTGAAGATTACATCTTTTTTGGTAGAATAGGTAAATACAATTGGAAATTACTGAAAATGTTAAATAACTAAATAATATTACACATATTCATTGATAGGAAGCAAATAACATCTTGAAACAATACCATTAAAATGTGCCACGGAGTAAAAAATTAAGTTTTAGTATCTCTTCTTAAATGGAAAAGGTTTATATAACGTTGCATCCTTAAAATGTAGAATTACAAGTGCACATCAAAAATCCATCGGAAAAGGTTGTTTTAATAACGAAAAACCCTCTAAATCATTATCTCAACATCGAGATGTATGAAGATGAAAGAAAAAAGATATTCAGTTCCAGAAATAGTGCATCTTGCAACACATTATCTAGACCGACCATTTTCAAGATTTTCATTTGTTTATAGATCTACTTGATTTTAAGTATTTTTGGAGTTTAAAATTTTATAATTAGAGATAAAAATAGATTTTCAGATAATCCTAAGAATTTTTTACATCAAAATTATATATTCTAATAAAATTTAAAGGTGCCTTATTTGAATTGTTTAAGGTTGCAACCTTATAGAAACCACACAGCAAAAATTTTAAAGGTTGCAACCTTATACTGTTGAAGTACGGTACACCTAAAAAATCCTACAGTGGAGAGTGTTTCGGCATATGAGAACCCTCTAACTAATCATCTCAACCTTGAGATAAATGAACATGAAGAATTTCAAGTCTAAAAAACTGTGTATCTTGTAACAAGTTATCTGCATCGTCTATTTTCAAGATTTTTAAGTATTTTTTTGATCTACTCGATCTGTACAATTCTTAAAATTTTAAATTTTATAACTGACGATAAACGATATTTTGAAGCCACCATAAGGTTTGATAGGGAACCCGGGTCCAGCTGGTTTTGGAGGTATTTTCTAATGGATATTTGAGAGGGGTGAAATTATCCTCTCGCCTTTGGTTATTATTTTGAGCGTTGGCTCTAAGCTGACCCTTTCGGTTTTGATTCTGATTGCTGCGTTGAGCAGTTGAACCTTGGGCCGATTCGTTAATGACGATCTCATTAACTTGACCGAAAGCGCAAGTCCACTTGAGGTACGTACAACTAAATTTACAAAACTGTTTGCTCTTTTCCACGTCCTGCGCATCCTTGTAGAAAGGAATTTGGGGTGATCCTTTAACTTAAAGGGGATTCCCTCGATGTCATTAAGTGATGTAAAGGGGAACAGAAGCTGCCTTGAGAATTTAAATCGTTACCGCTTCAAATTTTAGACGTCTACTCTTCTTTTTTCTTATCCTTTATTCATGTTTATAGGGAGGCTAATGTGTTGGTTGACTCTATTGCTAAAGGAGATTCTTCCCCTTCTGAAAGTATTGTTTTTGATTATGTAATTTCGTTTTAGCAAAAATTTATAGAATTTCTATCAAAAAAGAAGAAGAAAGGTTTTCAATACTAAAACGACGTCTCTAAGTAAATTTTAGAAATACACTTTACTTCAAAAGTATAAAGATAAAAACCTCACCCCCTTCAAAATACCTTTGGTTGCTAGAGTAAAAATGTAATTAAAAAAAGTACAGGGGCATTACGTTCAAAATAAAAACGAGAGCTTACGTTCGTCATTTGAGCAATCGTACGCCTGCTTATCAACGGTCAAGATTCTCACAGGTGTCGTGAATGCTTAATCCCCTTCTGCGGAGGATCTCTCGATTTTCTTATAAATATGAAGCTCCTCGCATTTTGTTACATTACTTTTTACACGACACTTTTTATTTCCGAGTTGTTCTCTCAAACTTGCCGGAAGATCTCTGGAATCGCCGGAAAACAATTGAAAATAGCCGGAAAGTTTTTAGAACTTCAAAATGCCAGCGGCCGGTTTTGCTGCTCCGGCATCCTCCGGTGTCGAGTTTGAAGCAAAGATTACACCGATCGTGATTATTTCTTGTATAATGGCGGCCACTGGTGGACTTATGTTTGGTTACGATGTCGGTGTTTCAGGTAAGATGTGAATCTGCTGAAATATCATTTCAAGAAGGTTATTTATGTTTTGCTTTAATGGAGAATAGTTTGTTTAAACTTTAAAGTCATGGACCTCTGCAAGCTTTAATTCATAAAGTTCCTTACATTTTTCATGATAGTTGTGCAATTTTTCATCACTGAATTTATGTGAAGTTCTCTTTTTGAGATGTCCTTTATGTGATGATACTGTAAAATTTATATATTATCAAACTTTTGTGAATTTTCTTTATCTATGCTCTAACTATGACAAGAGAAAGGATCGTGTTCACGGGCATAGATATACCATTTTCAGGTTCAAAGAGAAAAAAACTTTTGAAGAAAAAGATAAACTTTTCAAGAACTATAAAATATAACTTTGTGTCAAATCAAAGTTTGACAAAAATGGAAGATCTGTTTCTTCATTATACAGATTTTGTTTTACCTTCAGGAAATATCTTGAAATTCAATAATATTTTAAGAGAATTTTAATTCATTTGAAGACATTTTTTTTTAGAGATACCGGAGAAAACTGTCCTTTCTCTGTTTTCTGATTTAATAGAAAAAGAAAAAGGTCTCCAAAAATATCGCATAAATTTATCGGACAAAATGCGTTTTAGTTAGTGGATATTAGAGTTGCTCTCTCTCTAGTTTTGCCCCTGATGTGAAGGCTACTTTTCAAGTTTCAACAAATAATAGATTAGGTTCGTATAATGTCTCAACCTTACACTATTGAAGTAAGCTGTACCTCAAACTATGTTAGAAAATGCAGTTTTGGTGCAGCAAAGCTTTGCAATGACATGAAAATATATTGTTTTTCCAATTATGAAATTTAAAGTTCTAGAGATGGTGACTATCAAGAATATCTATAAACACTTGAAAATCTTAAAAATGAGTGGTGTAGATAATGTGTTAGAAGAAGAACTATTTTTAAGACTAATATCCCGATTTTCATGTCTATAAATCTCAAAGTCGAGATGACCGATTTGAGGGCTTTCGAGTATAGGAACAATCTTCTCTAGTGGATTTTTTTGGGTGCACCATACTTGTACATAATAAGGTTATTACTTTATATAAACCTTTTCTTCATTTCTATAAAATCCGACTTTTTCTATAGCATAATCAATGGAAAAGTTTCTATTTCATCTAGTAGCTTCTTTTTTCCCAACTACCTGAGATCGGCTAAATTAATTTGAGGTCCGCTATACTTTTATTTGATATAATTTACTATTATTTCATGATGGGTTTGGTTTATTAAATTTCTGGCTTTGACTATGCTAGTTTTGTAATGACCAATGTCTTTGTCTTGTTGTTATCTTGTAACCATTTTTCCAATTTTGCGAGGATATTCTTCGATGCGTATGCCAAGAGCCAAAGGCAATATTGAATTTTGAAACCCCTCATGTTTTATATGGATAATAAAATGAAGACTTCTGGTGCTAGTCTTGAAAAGTGACCTGAGGATTTACTATTCCTGGAAAATTCATACCTACACAAATGTCTACTCATGCTGAATTTTCTTGAAAGTTGAAACACATTCATATCATTTAGGCCAAGTAATTCATCTCTTAATTTTATTTTTTAAAATTTTTATGAGAAACGACTGAAATCAACTATATTGTTTTCTAGAATTACCAGGAACGCCCTCAATTTTATCTTTCAATGCCAAAAACCATCCCTCCTGAATTAAGGGGTGGTAATGGACCTGGACCGGACATCCCGACCAAGCCCGGTTCTTGGTGTGGATCCAATAATTGGATCCGGCCAGTCTGGTTGGGTCCAAATATTGGACCCGAATACTATTAAGGTCCAGCGCCATGTGGACCTGACCTGCACTCGATGCGAATAGTGTTATTACATACATAATATTTAGATAAATATAAATATATTTCAATTCTTCCTCTTCATTGTTTTTTTTTTTTTAGTTTTCTTCTTGGGTTTATTCACTAATTCACTTTTTGGTTGTTGAATGTCCATGAATAGGTGGTGTAACATCAATGGATCCTTTCTTGTTGAAATTCTTTCCTGTGGTTCATAGGAAGAAAAACTTACCAGGAGAGAACAGCAACTACTGCAAATATGACAATCAAGGCTTACAATTATTTACATCTTCTCTCTACTTGGCTGGTCTCACTGCCACCTTCTTTGCGTCCTACACAACGCGTACGCTAGGCCGTAGGCCCACTATGCTCATTGCCGGCATTTTCTTCATTGCCGGGGTTGTCTTAAATGCAGCTGCCCAAGATCTTGCCATGCTTATCATAGGAAGGATTTTGCTAGGTTGTGGCGTTGGATTTGCTAATCAGGTCTGTCCTATGATCCCATTCTATTATAAGTTTTTCTCTTCCTTTCTTTTTTTTTAATTTATTTATTAATTTTTTCTTGTTTGTTTCCATATTTTGTTCTTGAGATTGTATTACAACAGGCCGGGTCAAGACCAGCCACCCTTGGCCTAGCCCTGCCCTAGTTCCCATGGGGCCAGCTCAGGTCCAGTTGTGGCTCACCAGGCCAAAGAGGCACTGGCCTTATCATGGCCTAACTCGGCCTACTAAAATTAAAGAAAAATAGATAAAAAATATAAAGGAAAAAAGAGGCTGGGCGGCCTAAGCTCAGACCCGGCTCGCCTAGGCCCTTAGCCAAAATTTGTGGCCCAGGCCCTAGTTTTCTAAACCGGGCTGACCAGCTGGCCAATTGCCACGCCTAATACTATTTCCAAGCGTTTTGTTACGAATATATTGAAGGAAAAAGAAGTATGCAAGAGCCAGGCCATAAACAATCAAATTAAAAATTAAAGCGTACAATCAAATTAAAAATTAAAGCGTACCTTACAAATTCATCAGAACCGGTTCATTCAATGCCCAAAAATCCTCAAATTAATCAACTCATCCTTAAGGTGAATGGATATAAAAAAAAACAGTTTCCAAATATTGGAACTACTGCATCTTGTAATGCATTTTTAAACCATCAATTTCAAGATTTTCAAATATTTATAGATCTACTCGATCTACACGATTTTTTAAGTTTTAAACTTTATAATTAGATATAAAAATAAATTTTCAAGCCACCACAAAGATTTCCTGTATTAAAAGAACATCTTTTGATATTATTTGAAGGCATGCCTAAGTTTTGATAGTTTCGGGCCTCGGCCGTATACAAACCACACCCTTTTTTTAATAGAAATTCCAAAGAAGGTGGGAACTTCGTGTGCGATGAATTAGGCTTGTTGTCTTTATTGGGTGAGTGAGTTGTTTGTTTTTGTCGTTAAATGGGGAGTTTGGTAGGAAGAGGGGAAAGAATAAAATAATGAAGTCTAGGAATAATAGTGCCGAAATAATTGGTCGGAAGAGTTTAAAAGACGTCTTCTTCAGATGCGGACCCCTCTCCAAAATCCCAAAGATCCATGATTCTGATGGATTTTAGAAACCCAAGCACTTCCAAATGCATTTCTGATTCACATCTATCATTTTGTACCTCAAATACTTGTGCATATTTTACGACCTAAGAAAAATCTAAAAATAAAATTGCAAAAACTAATTTTCTAAGTTTTTTTTTGGTTAAAGATGCTATGATCTTGGTTGAGAGCAGTGTACCGGGACCAGGACTCGGCCAAGTCACTCTAGCTTGCGCTATGCATGAGCCGGCCGAGTACGAGTTATAGAATTTTTCCTTACACGATTTAGTTATATTTGTGAAAAATTGGTGACTATTTTTTTTTTGCCATAAATCCATATTTTTATATTTTACTTTTTTTTTTTTTAAACACCCCCAACAATAAATCTGTTTATTCTAAATCCATTTTTGTTGTACTATTTTAAGTTTACTTGGGCACCGAATGAATGTTTTTTGTTTTATTTCGCTTTTAATACATTTTTTTAAAAATTTTTCCTTATTTTTTTCAATTTATTTAGGGCTAAAAACTCATATACATGAGGGATCAAACTGGTCACCAACGTATACCGAGCTGGCGCAAAATAGCCTGAGATTGCTTGCCATTTCTCAAAACTTTATTCTTAAATTAAAAGGTACAGATAATTGTGGAATCATGCACAACCAGGCTGCTGATACCCAACCAGATCCAACCCAGCTCGACCAATTTTAAAACATTTCTATGTACCTATTATCTTCCAGCCCATTATGGTATGCTTAATAAATTGAAATTAGAATTATAACTGGAATTATAACGAAAAAGCCTATATAAGGTTACAACCTTATACTGTAGAACTAAGGTGTACATCTAAAATCCAATAAAAAAAGAGTGTTTTGAAGTTGGAAAACCTTCCAATGATCATCTCAACATGGAGGTGTATGAATATAAGGAAAAACAATAATTGAAGTCCTAAAATAGCGTATTCCAATTGATCATCTCAATATGGAGGTGTATGAATATAAGGAAAAACAATAATTGAAGTCCTAAAATAGTGTATTCCAATTGATCATCTCAACATGGAGGTGTATGAATATAAGGAAAAACAATAATTCAAGTCCTAAAATAGTGTATTCCAATTTATCATCTCAACATGGAGATGTATGAATATAAGGAAAAACAATAATTCAAATCCTAAAATAGTGTATCTTGTAACAAATTTTTTAAACCGATTAGTTTCAAGATTTTTAAGTGTTTATATATCTGTTTGATTTGCATTATTTTTTGAAATTTAAATTTCATAATTAAAATTGAAGATGGATTTTAAAGTCATTGTAAGATTTCCAACATTAAAACTACGTCTTCCACCAAAATCTAAAAGATGCCTTACTTGTAGAGTATAATAGAGGGCACCTCATACAAACCTTATCCAAATTTTAAGGGCTACACACTTTTCCCCATATCGTAGTCAAGGGCATTTTTGTAACTAGGGCAGACTCGCCCCGCTTCCACGATTTTGGAAAAAGTGGGCTACTCTTTCAAATCTGCTCGCCACTATAACGACATGATTTTAGCTTTTAATGGTGAGTGGGTCCATCGAAAAAAACCTTTCTTTTTTGTGGGATATTTCTCTAACATTGGAGGTTTATTTGTAATTGTAGCCATTCAATTGAAGTTCATTATCTTACATGGGCGGGCGGGGACCAGTCTCGTGTGGTCTCTCTTTCCTACCAATTTCTAACCACTTTCTTCTTCTATCCTTGTTATCCAAAACTTTAGGCTAGATGGACAGGTTGGTGGGGCGCCAGTCTAAGGGCTGGCAACAGTCGAGGTCTGGTAGGTCCAGACTAGACCAGAGCCGACCTAAAATTTAAATATATCTATATATTTAAATATATTTTAATATGTTTACATGAATTAGGAAATGTGAGACCCAGACGCAGACCAACATGACCTGATTGGACTCATACTCAGACTTGAATAGTATCCGGGTCCAAATCTTGAACCCAAACCCAATCTGCCAAATCTAATTTTTGGACCCATACCCGGAACCTAGTCAGGTCTACCCATCAATTCCATATCCATTGCGAACCCTAAGTCCCACAACGGTGTGTTGTATTCCTACGATCCGTAATGAAGCCGATCTCCACTAAATTATCCCCCAAAAAAAAATGTGCACATTATTACATGAAGTTATTATTTTAGAAAAGTGAGCAGAAACTAGAGAGACATGGCGAAACCACTTAATTCAATATTGAAAAGTAAGTTGAGGAACATGTGGCCACCTAACAAAATTGCTTTGAATCTGTGTGGTTACCTTTTTTTTTATGCCAAAGTTTTAAATATGGGTGTCGGAATCTAAATAGCGAAGGACCAATCCTGAATTGGACAGTAGGGGCGATTTTATATAGGATCATATACAAGCAATATAAAATAAAAAAAAAATTAAAAAATTCAAGAGAACGGGTAAATGAAAATTTGGCCCACCGACTAGACTGTTAATTTTGGTCGTGCATGTTGTGGAGTGCAGATGCCAAGAAAAAGAAATATGGGTTCAAAATAGATGTTAGCCACATAAAAAGAAAAAAAGTGGCAAAAAAAGAAATATATATATATATATATATATATATATATATATATATATATTTATATATTACTACTAACACGGTCGTTTCGTTTTCTTCGTGAGTGTCGACCGACCGACGACGACGGCGGTCGTAGTATACTCCTTCCT